CAGTAATCCCTTGATAACTCAGCATCCTTGAAAAATATTCAGGCTTTCTAACTATGCGAGAACAGTCCTTACAGATTCCTACAAGCAACTTTGGCAGTTGAGCAGTTGCCTGATTTGGAACATCACCATGCAACTTTGAGAGATATCAGGGCAGATGTGATCAAGCATCAGCACAGCAGTTACAAACAGGGGAAAATAGCTGACTTTTTTAAACCCCTCTTAAAAAAAAAACCCAGACGAAATCTTCTTTCCACCAGTAGTGAAGCCTCCATAGATCTGCCTGCAACATCTGGATACTCAGACACCAATTCCAGCAGTGCCATCTTCCTTACCTCAGAACCCCTACAACAGTTGATGTCTTCAGATAGTGAATAATGTATTTAAATTAAATAAATGTAAATATATTAATCTTTAATTTCTAAGTTAATAATTTAATGTATTCTAATAATCTTTAATTTTTAAGGGAATAATTTATTGTTTAAATGACCATTCAAAATGTATTTAACAGTATTTACCAAAGTGTGTTAAGCCCTCCTACAATCACCTCTGTCACCTACCACATGGCACCATAAGCTTGAATCATCATCTTTCTTGGCCTGCAATGCTGTTAAGTGTTAATTTTTAATGTTTTTTTTAATTTAATTTAATTTATTTTCAAACAATAGTAGTGTATAGTAGTTTATTTGGGACAAAAAGTTGTGATTTGGGGGTAGGAGAAAATTACCTCAATAACTCGGAATTTTTGATAACTCGACATGGCTTTAGCCCCATATGTTCCGAGTTACCGAGGGATTACTGTATATATTGTTTTCTGATTTTGCTTAAACATATAGTTTTAGGCATTTGGCTTTTAAATGAACTTTGCTGTGTATTTTGAGTTTTACATTCTGGATTTACCTTTACAAGGGTGAACACACTGAATTGGTTGAGAAACTATTAAAGATTTCTTCACTCTTGTTTTATTTTGTGTTTTGATTCTTTCTTTGTGATAAACTCAGTTAGTGTTAAAAAAAACAAAAACACCACACATTGTAACCCAATATTTTCTGAACTTTTGGTCAGCAAGACTAACTACTACTCTGAGGGAATCCATGAATCAGAAAATATATTACTAGTAATCAGTAAATATTGACTTGTTATCATATGTAACTATGCAAATATATATTTTTATAAGAAATTAACTGATCTATTTTAATATATAGAAGCTTCTTTTCAAAAATAAAATTGTTTGCATCTTTCTTAAACTTAAGGATGGATTGTATTTTCACTTTTGGGGTGAGAATTAAAAACAAGATATTTGATTTTATTTATAGTTCTGTAAATGTTTTTTGCAAGTATATGACAATAATACACAAATTACAAAAAGAAAGATGTATCTACTGAAAAACCTCCTTTTTATTTATTTTTTTACAGGAAAAATTCGTCCATGAAGTTGTACTTGCAACACATTATTGATGACAAACAGAGATGTTTGGAAGGTGACATACTAGCATCTAACTTGAATCGCACTTCTTATTCCTTATCACCTGGTCTGTTATCTTTTGATAGTCAATCACCTTTACCAAAATGGTTAGTTTGAGAAAATATAATCACAGTCTTGTAAGGAAATAAATATTTTATGTGACAACTTTGAATACGTTATGAAAAAAAAAGAATCTTGATTTTGTGATCTTAGTATACTGCATGGTTCATATTTTACATCCTGAACTAACTCGTATTTAAATAAATGGCTCATCTTGATGTTATAAATAACTTCTCTGTCTAGCACATTGTACTCAAGCTAACCTTATGAAACTCTTATGCTGCCTCCAAATTTTTCAACATGTTCATTGTTAACTCTGGAGTGACATTTAAACAACTTGGCACATTCCCCATTGAGTAATGGGTGGATAATCCTCATAGATTCATATCACAATAGTAAATTCTTGGACACATAACATTTAGCTCCTGGATGTCATGTTTTTAATGCTACATCTCTAGAAATAAGATAAGTTACAGTTTTTCCTTATTTTTTGCAAGTGGGTTGCTAAATCATTGTTTAATGTTCTTTATTCATATCTGCTACTGTAGTCAAATCATCATTTACAATAGTCCTTATGTTCATTAATGATTGTCAGTAAGCTCACTTTTTTGGGTGGCTGTTATCCACTAAGTTCTCAATTTGTATGAGGAAGTTTCTTTCCTCTTTATCAGCTGAAAGTTAAAAGTCTGAGAAATAATTTAATTATTTACAGTATGTTTTTGTGTGAAATTTTTATGTGTATTTAGCTCTAGAAAAGCCTGACAACAACTGAGGTACCCAGATGACCATAGTTGACAATGTGGCAGTGAGAAAGAGATTTTAGTGCATATATATTCTGTGAGATTGATATTCTTGTTGAATTTTTAAAATTACTGACTTCAAGGCCTTTTGTTATAGTTGATGTGGACTTTTACAGTATGTGTACTGAAGGCTTCTGTGTTTTTAAGTAGGGATGGCTGCTGAAGATTTTAATGTTGTTTCAGCTAGAGTGACATATTTAGCTTTGACTGAGGCTCATGCTTTTGGTAGTTGCAATGAAGTATCTAAAAATCCTTTCAGGTCAATTTTCAGTGTAACTTCCTACATATTGTTCAATTACTTGTTCACATCTTTCTGCTTAGAACCCTGAAATATACCTCATATTGTACATAACATAGCTAATTTTACTCAAACTGTAAAAGCACTGCTATCATTAACCTAGACAATGTGATCTGTTTTGTCTGTGAAAAATTTCCCTAAGGTTACAACATATTCAAAGGTCTTGATGTGATCTGGAATACAATTTGTTTTAGATTACCTTGCCTGCTGCACCACAATGAATATTCAACAGCATCATGGAACCCTTAATTTTCTGCATTTATTTGGGTTACTTCCACTTTTTAGATGAATAGTGTGAAGACAAAATAGTGGTAAAAAAATTATATAATTGGTTCTTAAACGTTAGGCTTAACAGTAACATTGTTAACAATAGGCTACTGGTATTTGGTATTGAGTATTTATTTTCAGGCTATAAGTATAAATATAATGGTTAAGAGTAGTGTAGGAGTTAAACGTTCACAGTTTGTTAGGTGTAATGGGTGCATTGAGTGAGTTTTATTTGAGAACTCGGAACTGGAATGTACTTTTAATGAATGTAGTAGTGAAGATGTGCAATTTTTATGTAGAGTTTGTAGGTTGAAGGAAAAGTTGGAGGCAATCATAATTAAAGTAGAAGCGATGGGTAAAGAGAAGTGTAGGTTGTGGAAAATGACAACAGGATTTCAGGAAGAGCTTAAGCTTTTACATGCAAGGGATACATCAGCAACATTGACTTTCAGGAAGTTAGAAAGAGTACTGTTAGGGCTAAAAGTAGTGAATTTAGTTATAATGAGCCTATTCTGTTAAGCAACAAATTTCAGCCATTGGCTTCTGCAGATTAGAAACTATAAGAGGGAAGAAAAACAAAAGGGTCAGAGAAGGATGTGGATGATAAAGAGGTTATAGTTAGTGGTGATTCCTTGATAAGGCATGTGGTTAGAATAGTCTATGGGGTAAATAGGGAGAAAAGAATCATATTATGCTACCCAGTGGCACAGGTGGAGGTTACAATTGACAGAGCAAGTGATATAATAAACAGGGCTAGCAGAAATGCAGTTTTTGTTGTGGATGTAGGGAAAGCTAGGTCAGAGGAGGTAATTATTAAGTACAAGGGGTTGATAAAGGCATTTAAAGAAAATGGCCATAACTTAATTTTGTCAGGGATACTGCCCAGAATTAACTGTTATGAAGTTATAAATAGGTCACTAGGGCTAAATGCTAGGCTTAAGTTAGAGTTAGTATGTAAGGATGAGCAGATTGGCTGGTTGGACTAGTGAGACCAGTTCAGTGGAAGAAGTGAGCTTTTTGGATTGGATGGTTTATATTTAAATAGGGTAAGGGCTGGTATGTTTGCTAAGGCTATTAACTCAGCCGTAAAGGAAGTTTTAAACTAGGACTAGACAGTGGTGAGGGCCAGGAAAAATGAAACGCAAAAAGAATAACAGGCAGAGAAAAGTTTAGCATAGGAAATGACTATAGAAGTAGTTATAAGGATAGGCTTAATTGTTACTATTGTAATGCCAGAAATATAAGAAATAAAATAGATTACTTTATAGTATTAGTAGGAATGGAGAATTTTGATGTAATGGGAATAACTAAAACACGGTTAAACATAGATGATTTTAATGACAGAAGTTTCCTTTAAATACAGGGTTACAGGCTATTTAATAGAGATAGAGTATCAAAGAGGGGGGAGGAGTGGCTTTATATGTAAAATGTGAGTTACATCCTGTTGAAGTTGAGGATATCAAAGATAATAGCAAAGAGATTGAATCCATTTGGGTTTCTGTTAGTGGATATAAAGGGAAAAGGCTTTTAGTGGGAATTTGTTACAGACCACCAAATGATATTGATGAAATTAGGGACACACTTTAGAATGAGATTAAGATTTCAGCTGTTAATGAAGTCATAATTATGGGTGATTTTAATTTCAGGCATATAGATTGGGAAATTCTAGAGTCAAACCATGAGGGAGAAAGGTTTTTGGAAACTGTTCAGGGTGGCTTTCTTCACCAGTTAGTCAAAGAACCAAATAGAAACAATGTTATTTTAGACTTATTGTTAACTTCAACTACAAAACTTATTGAGAGAGTGGAAATTGAGGAAAATCTGGGTGCAAGTGCAAGGATCATTGTTCTATTAGGTTCAAAGTTTTTCTGCATATGGAGATAAGGAACAATGATATT